ATTTTCGCTAGAGCGATGTAATTGCCCACGAGAGCATTCTTATGGAGACGTCGAAGCCACAGCTGCCCCTAACCTGGCACAAACTACTCTTTGGAATGGTCCCTATTACTTCTGTATTGAGGTTGCAAAAGAGACCTTAAGGCCCTACCAACAAAACAGTTCGCGGTTACAGCTTCAGGTATGCTTTAAGTCCCCGTCGCTGAGGAGCGCGAGTGCGGACTCTGGATGCTCCTGCTGCCGATGCGGTGCTCCATCGGAAGTGAGCGGACCGCGTACTCTTGCGTAGGCCGTAGCTTTTCTTGGCACGCGGCTTAAGGATTCTACGGGAGAAACCCTACACCCCACAAACCTCAGCAAGAACCGGTGGCCTTACGCGCTCGAAATTTGGAGCTGGGAGGGTATGACCACACACTGAGACCAAAACCTCCAAGGTGCCTGGATCCTTCTTCCTTCGGTCTGAGGTATCGGGTTTTGATATCGTTATTGGGGACTCCGGATCTCATGCCTTTGCCCTGGACTCAAACTGCAGTCTTGATCGAGAGAAACCTCGAAGTGTCAATCCTAATCAGGGTTCTTCTTGAGCACCTCATCAGGTCGTGGCCAGACAGGCCTTTCTAAGAGTGGCAGTTTATACAGTATCAAACCCCCAAAACCCTCTCCGCATTACATAGGGAACCTTCATCCGGTGCGTGTGCAGAGAGAGCCAAATATCCATCAATCGATGAGTATTCCTTGAACCGTAGCGAGAAGAGCCCTCACAAGTTCAGTTGGACTCTCTGGGTGCTTTGCTGAATCCTGAACCTGGGACTTTATATCGTGAGCTCTAAAGGCTACTAAAGCATAAACCGAAACCCTAAACCCCAAGCCCTGAAACCCTAAACTCCAAACCGAACAGCCTTGAGCCCAAAATTACTGGGGCTGTTGCAGGAGGTCACTCAATGCAAGTTTCCAGCTCACCAGTTTCTTTGGTCTTTCAATAAGGGCTCTTTCAACCCCTGCAACCTCCTGGAAATACTGAACATAGCCTTCTAACAAGTTCAGTTCGACTCTCTCTGTTGTCAAAGTCCGCTTGCCACTCAGCAGGGACATGTGTGCATGGTTGCAAGAAGTTCTACCGCTGCGTCGAGTTTCCGTGCCTTGTGGGTTTGGCATGTCGAGTTTGGAGCTTATAGCACAGGATCTTGGAGCTTTGGGCTTTGGGGGTTTAGGCTTTCGGGCTTTAGAGTATAGGTATAGGGTTTCAAGGGTAGGTGTGCCCAGGGCATACACCATGCAATAAATCACTAAAAACAGTCACTAAGCTGGGCACAATACTTGTGTCAACCGTAACCTCAAAGTGCAGATTTCGCAGAAAGGGGAAAAAGCTTACCCAGACACATGTGCTTACGCGGTCTTATTTGCACACGAAAGCACATACGGATAAGAGTTTCTATCAACACGTAGCGAGGTATGCGTTGGCGACTCCACCAATAGGGCCTGCACTACTCATCACTCATTTCTGAGCTTAAACTTTTTTGACACGTGGCTCAGGGAGTGGCTCTCTTGTCAAGGGCGGGGTTGCTTCTGCAGGTTGTATACCGCTTAGCGGTTTTAGGGTGTGGGGCTTGAAGTTGCAAGTTCTGAAAGTCTATTATTGTTTTGCAGCTTCGCGGAAGAATTGGGTGCTCCCAATGAGATTGCACTAACGGCAGTCAAAAATATTGAGGGGGTTGCTCGGAAAAAACCTATAGTTACTTTTTCCATGTCTGTACACGTCCCGATGTAGAACTCTATACAATTATACACACAGAGGGTTAAGTTAGGTCGCTGGGTAGACAACTAGGTGTGCACATACGAGAGTTATGTTCTGTTTTGATTCAGCTACTTGCAGTTTTAGCCCGGTTGTTTGCTTGTGTACCTTATTCGCTACATTCCGTGTGCAAGAATCGATGACCGTTTTTGCAGAATTTCTGGTATGCACACACCGACGGTGCTACTTTTGAGGTGCTTGTGGACATATTATGAAGCTGCACACATCACATCAGTGTAAGGGCATATGAACACATGATGAGATGTTCTTGTTCCAAAATCGCTGATAGAAGTTTGATGCACGGTTCCGGGACAACTGTCGAGATTGAACAGTCTGTGATGGCAGCCCAAGGCAGATGAGACAGATGTCCATGCTATGTGTGGTGTTGCGACTTTTTATTAAAGGTTGCGTATTTAATTGTATGCATATACAGCCATAGGCCATAGGCCATAGATGATACACAGATATGCACAGACGGAGAAAGAGGATGGACATAGATAAAGCATGTATTATATGCACATGAACATGTAGGCGCCTCTAGAGGGAGAGAGAGAGAGAGAGAGAGAAGGGCTGACAGCGAAGAGAGGTGCAACTTGTTTCGGTAGGCCGTGCACGCAGGGTTGCCGGCGAGAGTTGTCGTAAGGTCGTAAGGATTCTACGGTTGATGGACAGAACCTTGCATTACTTGCAGTGGTCCTCAGCTTGATAAAGAGTCTACCAATCATTCCCGTATGTTGTGACTACTTTCCGTGATGGAGGATTCTGTTTACAAAGCGTATCGTTATGTGGGCATTAGACTTCTCCCGTGACTGTATGGTACTGAAGTGTTTAATGTGATACTCGACCAAGTTGAAAAGCAGTCCAAGATAGCTATACAGGAGGTGTAAAGTTCCTCAGTTTGAACGAGCAGTATATCGGCAGCACAGTGGATGACGTGTTGTCGGCAGGGTTCGAGCAGGATGGGCTTAGTAGTGCTTGACAGGGTGCCGTGAATATGGACCATATTCCGAAATCTCCATTCCAAGTGTCTCGAGAACGAACAGTGATACCCACGAAACGAATCTCAGAACCAGCGGTGCAGAACTGCAGCCACAAACTTGCTCTGCTCAAGCGGAACAGTTGGCTTGCGGAGGAAAGCGCTGCAACCTGCAGGGGGAGTGATGGGGATTCTTAGTCATCAGATCTAGGTCTGTGTGGGGTTTACGCTTTAGGAGATCGGGTATCCAAAGTTCGAAAAGTTTAGAATGCAGGGCTTACGGTTCAGGAGTTGGGATGCTTTGGGCTTGTCACGAGAGAGAACATGCAGGGAGGACCTCGTGGTTGAATTGGAGTCTAATTAGTGGCACTGAGCAGCCTGAATTCCAGCGTCTGGAGGGGATGACTGCCAATGTTTTGATGTTCAGATCTGTTCGGTAAGGAGAATAAATCACGATCACAAACTCTGGGCCTTCGCACAGCGTCACGGCTAAGACAAGAGGTATCCTAACGGACACGGTCTCGTGGATTACTAGTTCCAGTTGGTGTTTTGCGTCGCGGAGCGAAGTTTAAGAGTTCGATTTTATTTCTTTGCGATTCAGGGTGTATAGGGCTCGGGGTTCAGTGTGGAGGCAGTGGGAAACCGAAACCCAATAAATCACTCTCGCGGGAAGGGTCCTGTTCCAGGCGCAAGCTCCGGTACGACTTAGAGTCACCCCATGCTCATTACACCACGCGAAGAGGTGGCACCAGCTGCTTTGTTATAGGCTTTGGGGTCCAGGGTTCAGGGTTGAATTTCAGGTTACCGGCTTGTAACTGAGGGTTTGGTAACCATCAATCATCCCGAGTCAAGGTTCACGAAGAGTTCTGGAGTCAGGTGACATCTCAGTGCAGAGAGAGTGATTATCGCCGGTTGCATACCAAACCAAGATAATTAGGTTCCAGCTTGAGGGCTTAGGGTTATATGCTAGACCACGAAACTCGCGCTACGAGGTGACTTCGCTGTTCACTAGTCCATCATGTAGGACAAGCTATCACCAATTATGTACTACCATTGCGATGTTGGACCCAGCTGGTTGGAGGTATGCTGACTTAGCATTGTTGCTTTGCTACTGCTCGTCTTGCTGTTCCGTTTGGTTGTATCTGGGGCTAGACTCAAACGGTGTCTTGATTTGGAGCGCTCCTTTACAAGCCCCTGTCGGCATCGAGATTCTGAGCTCAGTCGGCATCGGATGCACATGCCTATCTAATCCTTGCTAACCTGTAGTTACCATGGCGTACAGGTAGCGGATTGTAGGATGCATTGTCGGAGCTTCCTTGCGGAAATCTGCGGGTCTGCAGCATGAAGTCGGTCGCCCAATGCCAGTCAGTCCAAGCAGCCGCAAATTGTAACAACACCAGAGTTGTGTTGTCTTTACACCACAAGGCATTGAGTCATGACAGCTAAGATCGCAAGAAGAGCAGGAATCCATCTTCCCGCAATCGGCTTTAGGCGGCTACGGTCAGGTCTTCAAGAACATGGCCCGGACCTCAGAGATCCTTCATCGGCTATATACGGACCTTGTCTGGGGCTCTTTGGGCTCTTCTTGGGGGTGGCCAAGCTGTCATCCCAACGTATAGCCTGATTAGGGGACCTGAGGCCTTCGGGACGGCAGGCATTCAGTTCTTACCACGGTGGACGCACCATGGTTTTCTGCTGTATTTGTGTAGCGCTCTCTCTCTCTCTCTCTCTATATATATATATATACACACACATATATGTAAATACATACATGCATACATACATACATATATACACAGATACTACATGCACACATACACAGTTGTTTATTCCTGTATGGTTTCTATGTATTTGGTTTTTGCTTGTTTGCTTGTGTGTACGAAACACGCGCAAATACAAACATACATGCGTACTTGCATACTTGCATATCTATGTATGTGTGTCTATACATGCATGTATACATCGCGTGTGTTTCTATAAATACATCTACATGTGTGTATATATATATATATACACGTATATGTATACTAGTTACTTAGTTATTTATTTGTACGTGTGTGTGTGTGTGCGTGCGT